TGATCGTCATTGGATCGTTCGTAGTTCTGAATTAGGGCATGCTGTCACAACGGAATTGTGAAGCTCTTCTAACTTCTGCAACGTTCTGAAATCTTGTTAAGAACACCCAAACTCTTTTGCCGTTTCTTAATCTTGGCGAGTTCATGGAGTAAACTGAGAATTATATGAAACGCAATCAAACCATACAACTCCATAAGACATAACAATTAAGCAACTCCCCAGAGACATGCAACATTTTTGGAACAAAACGTAACAAAATAGTAGCGTTGATACGGTGATGTGTATTTGCAAAAAGCAATACCGTATTATTTCCTTCAATAAAGAATATTCATCCTGCTCTAACCGAGAAATAATCTACTCAGTCTGTTTGAACCCATTAAAAACATAAAAAAATTAGGCTATTTAATTTAAGAAAAATTTAATCGCCTGCCTTCCATGGTCAGTCTTTCATGTACTTTTAAGTTTGTAAAGACCTAATATTAAATACTTGCATAATTTCGAACGTTCATATTTCAGGAAACATTGAGCTAAGACTTACATGTAAGATGTCTAAATCTACGCCATATCCCTTACAAACCCTAACGACAATTCCCTGAAATACAAGTTAGCCTGATATGTCATCAAGCTAACAAACGCTGAAGTTAATATTTGATATGCCGATTTTCGCTAATTTTAGACACATTCAAAAATATGCTCCCGATTTTGAACATTAATATCTCCGTGAATTGTTAAGTAAAATACAACTGTAATTTATCAAAATTTAAGTTAGTCCTTCCTCTATTTAATGCAAGTTATTTCTGTTTGATAGCTTTACTTGTTTAGAAGTTATTACAAGTCAAACCGGAGTACTTTTTTTTGGGACACCCGGTATATATATACATTATATATATATATATATATATATATATATATATATATATATATATATATATATATATATATATATATATATATATATATATATATTATATATATATATTATATATATATATATATGTATATATATATTATATATTATATATTATATATTATATATCATATATCATATATCATATATATATATATATATATATATATATATATATATATATATATTATATATTATATATATATATAGCATCCAAATTTAAACAATAAACAATATATATAGAAGTTAACATTTACATTGAAATCATATATATGTCAATGATCCATACTCATAGAATTTTGACAGTTTTTCAAAACTTTATTGTGTATAAAATCACATGAAGCAAATTTTCTGTCAATTGTTTATATTTATAATGCATGGATTACATTTGGATTTGCCAACATCAACTGTTGAGACTTGAGTAATATACATAAACTATTCAAGGAACATAAATTACTGCAGCAAACAGGTCAATCATACATTCAAACTTATTGGTCGTATAATAGTAGCAATACCATACATATTAAAAAATTTTTGCTGGAAATATAGCTCTTATTTTATACATCGTAGAAATTGCATTCATGTTTAAACACTAGTAGCCTACATTGAATATTGTTTACACATTAATACATTGAAAATTGTTGATTATGATTCTTTAATTCTTACCTTAAAACAAAAACACTTCAAACACAGTTCAAGTCGACAAGAGTAAAAATATATAAAGTACTCCTCGAAATTAGCTCGAAACACCTCGAAACGTACCGCCATGTTGATTTAGCCTGCGAACAGGCTGCTGCGATTCTACGGTCAGAATAAGAAATAGTGAGCTTAAAAATGGCTTAAATTAAGCAAGTGACGTTTTTGACAACACTGACGTCGACCGGAAGTAAAGTTGACGTTTTTCACCAATCACAGCCCTTGACCCAGTCTTCTGACGTTACTCATGCCGTTCGTGTTGTCAAAAACGTCACTTGCTTAAGCTCACTAAAGCCTGATTTCCACTAGGCGGAATTTTGCGCGCGCAGCGGAAATTTTCTTTGTCTTTTCTAATTAGTTCCACCTGAGAAATCGCAAGACAAAGAAAAATTCCGCTCCGCGCGCAAAATTCCGCCTAGTGGAAGTAGAGTGCAACTCGCGTGTACAAAGCGTAACCCAATTTTCAGTGCGCACGCGCGGGATTCTCAAGCTCGCAGCCAGTAAAAGCCATTGGTAAAAGCCAGTCAGTGCAATAGGGATTTGTATTACGAAATGTACATTTTGATCACAAAATCGACTATTTTTCGGAAACAAAGGATTGGAATATCAAACTACTACAACTGCCTGCAGAGGCAATGTAAGCTTAAATTATTATTGTGGTTAGCATAGAAAGAAACAAATATTTAGGGAGAAATTTGATATTGTTGTGTGAGCTACAGTCTGAATCTGAATGAAATGCTGACAGTCGATCGCGTATACTGTGTTATTTATTTCGATTTTCGAGGTTTATGTCAAATCTTATCAGTACAGGTTTTGGATTGCATCAAACTTTATTTTAAAAAGTATAAATTTCAAAGTCACGAGCAATTAATCAAATTTATTTCGTGCGGGAAGTTGTCTGTAGACCTGTGTCTGACATGTTGAACTACAAATACAAACAATATCAGAAAGTGATATTTATTTATGTAATTAAAATATCATGATTATGAATTAACATTCATTCCTATTACTACAATATTACTTCGAAGACATCGAATTTTTCCAACAAATAAACCAAACTATCATATGTTAATATACTGTACTTTATACTTTGTAAGTAAACAACATGTATTAATACGTTTAAATTTCGCATTTAGCAATTCTTTAACAGCTGATAACCAACAGAAATGTATTCACTACCTTCAAATTACAACCAGCAGCCGTGGTTTGTAATTTGAATCGTTCGTTTGCGAAAAATAGTCGATTTATTCAGCCAAATGGCCATTGTGCAATACAAATCTCTAATAAAATTGACTGGCTTTACTGGCTGCGAGTAATTAGAGCGGGCAATTTCCGGTATGCGCGAGGCGACATGCGCGGCTTCAAAAACTTCAAAGGTTCCGATGCGAGTTATCCTTCTATTCATTTCTTATTCTATGCTACGGTTTTCTCACTGATTTATATGTTCTACACGGAATAGTCATTTCCGCATAGTGCGCTGATTGGCTAGGGACGGTCACAAGCTAAAATACTAGACACTGATTGGCTGCAAGCTAACAGATAAAGCAAACTCGATAGCATAGTATATCTGCTGCGCAGATACAAAAAGCGTTATCATTTGCTGTTTTGAGATCTGAGATGCTTGGTTTGCCCGCTTGGTTTCACACGAAGTCGTCAAATGCTCCGTTTTCATCTTTCTCCGTTTAGAAACCGTGCTCAAATTGTTACGGCAAAAGCAACGTTTCAAACAATTTTGCTACGGCGTGATGTGAATGCGACGGCGGCTAATTGTGACTAACCACTCTGGCGTAGTGTGAACGGTAGTCTTTTAAATAGCAAACGTCCTAAAGAAGAATATTGAACCAAAGCGAGCAAAATATACAAACTAAAAGAAAGAACAAGCATGGCAATCACAACAGAAATCTGTGTCGTGCATGACTTTTATAGTTTGAAAAAAAAAACAATTTAACTTCGAATTTAACAATTTTGACATCAATTTGTTTTATTTTTATATGTAGGTTCCGTGGTAGCTGCGACCATTTTTTCATTCATATTTTGTGTTGTCTCTTTTATTCGCTTCATGGAAAATCACAAGTATGTTTCCAGTAATGTGTATGCTGTCAATTAAAACACTCTTCGTTTTTTCCAAGAAATGTTTTCTTCGAGTAACTTTAAAATTAACCGTTTATTCTTTCTCCAAAAAAAATTGAAGTGCCACCAAACGAGCTACAAAGAGAGCATTAAGAGTTTTCAATTCTTCAATAATTATTAAGTGTTGTGGTTTCCTCTCCATAGAAACAACATGCTAAAGATGTTCAAAGGAGATAAATCATTCATTCCTAAGAATATCAATGCGGTACAGTTCATGATTGTAAGTTGAACAATATACGTATACAATCCTGTTTTGAGTTAGGTTTGGAACGCGAGAACTAGTGTAGAAAGTTAGGAGAGGGAGGGAGAGAGGGAGGGAGGGAGGGAGGGAGAGAGGGAGAGGGAGGGGGGGAGAGAGCAACTGAAAATTAGTGTGTATATATACAAAGTTTTATGCACAGCTGGAGATTGTAGACTTGAGTCACTTGACATGTGACTTGATTTTTGTGACTTGACTTGTTACTCGGATTAGCAATGTGTGACTTGAATAGACCTAATTTCCCCTTTTAAGTGAAATTTTGATCTAGACAAGTCTGGACAACAGCTTGAAAAGAGCAGCACAAAATTAGTAATATTCCGAAGTTTCGTTGCGAAATGTTGTAAAATGCGGATAATATAGCCTTGGGAAGTTTGCCATTTTTCAGTTATTTTGCATTACAAACGGGAAATTGATAATCAGATGATCAAACTGATTATTAATTTCCATTTGTAATACAAAATGACTGAAAAACGGCAAACTTCGCAAGGCTATATATTATCCGCATTTTACAACATTTCGCAACGAAACTTCGAAATATAACTAATTTTGTGATGCTCTTTCAAGCCGTGGTGGAATTTTTGTCCAGGCTTGTCTAGATCAAAATTTCACTTAAAAGGGGAAAGGTCTATTGGACTTGAACAAAATGACTTATGACTTGACTTGTTATCAAGTCAAGCGTAAAGTCGTAAATATCTAGTGAAAATGAACTTTTCCACAACTTGCACTGGAAATTCATCGATGCACATTGACCAGTGCAAGTACATTGGCATATTACATTATGACTGTGAGCTATAGTATTTTAATATATAATTTGTCATAGGTGACTCCCTACTTGCGACTTGATTTACGCCTGTGTTCTAAAAGCTCACTCATCCTCGCCCTTAAGTAACATTCAAGGGAGGAACATAGATAATTTAATTAGTCACTTTTTGCATACCCTTTTACCCCACCCCATCTCCTCCCCACCCTAACCCCCTCCCAAGATGTCTCGTGCCTTTGGCACTCGATACTTGTGTCTTTGTATTACTTCTGGGGATCCACATCAACTTTCTTTCGTTAGGCAAAACGAACCCACACCGCTCTAATGTTTAGACCAAACATAACCCCTGTATAGATTAAGGTTACAGAACATCTTTGAGTGTTAATTTTGCCTAAATTTTTTTATTGGTTTCCATGAAAGCATTAGACTAGTTCTACTATCTGACCAAGTTTGAACGAAAAATGTTGAAAACTCGCAGAGTTATTTAATAAAATACATTTCGCTGCAATAAGAAAAACATTGACAATGTAATATTCAAATTCAATTTTCTCCCGAGGAATTTTACGGCAATTACTGATTTTCAAACGAGTTCTCCTGCGGGTTTTAACCAATTTTTCTCAAATTTTCACAGGACATAGCTAAAGACGTCAGTTTCAAAATGGTGTTCGGATTTTTTTAATTTTGGATATTTTATTAATAAAGAGCAATTCACTCAAACAATTCAGAAATATATTGCAGTCGTCAAAGAAATCGCCATATCAGCGGAATGACGAAATAAACAAAAACTCTCCGAACACAATTTTTTAGAACAACTATTTTACTGTATAAATATGATATTTTCATAAATATAACTTAAAACCAGCAGGAGCACAACTCGAAAGCGTAACGGTACCGCGATTTAAGATTTTCGTGAATAATTCTTACATTTTATTGTTTGTTAATTTACAACTTTACCATATTTTGCATGCACTGGCGAACATTTGGTGAAAATTTGATTAAAATCGGACTGATATTGAGCGCGCAGTAGCGATTTTCCGCAAAACGCCAAAAAGGGTGTCCTGTAACCTTAATTATACAGTAACCACTTCAAAATAACCACTTTTGTGTATTCCACTTCGTTAGGGAAAAGGACTAAGATGTCATAGTTATCAGATCGGCTACTTTTTGTGGGGTAAGTATTTCTTGTTCCTGAAGGGATGTGCGTATAGCGGTATGTATTCGGTAAAAATTTATTATAGAATAGTATTGGAACTTTTATTAGAACCACAAACTGAAAATATTTTCACTTGGTTTTTTGCATTAGGATCTGAGAAATTGTTTAAAACGATATTTAGAGAAAATGTTTTCCAGGACTGTAAATTGTTCTCTGTTGTATATAATATTGTGTGGCGACCGCTGTTCCGTAGAAATGTGAAATATGCAACTATAGGTCGTCTGGTAGGAATCGAACCTGCTGCTGTGCGACTTTGGTTCAGCGCTCTAATCAACTGAGTCCAGTTGACAAGCATTAACCACCGTTCTTGTATATGTATATATAATGGGTGATGCCAGTTTAAGGTATGGGTAACTATTGAAGATTTGGGTATCTTTCTCGATAGAACTAACAGTTGAAGGGTTTTGGAGATGGAAATTTCAAACGGAAATTCTATCGAGCGTGATGCCTGAAGTCTTCATATTTGCCCAGATTATACGGCAAATCCCTACCTTGAGTGAAATATATAGAGGATATTACACGGCGGCGCGAAGATATGATTTTTATCTTCGAGTGGTGAAAACAATATTTTGCGACCGAGCGCAGCGAGTGAGTAAAATATTGTTTTTGACACGAGAAGATAAAATTCATATCTTCAAGCCACCGTGTAATGTTCTGTTTATTATATAGTCCCAAGCAAAAAATTGTATAAATACTAAAAGTCACGTGATCGATATCGTCGCTAGTGAAGACATGGAAAATATGTCACTGTGTATTTCTCAGTATCTCACTCTACTATATAATAAATGGTCACCTTGAAGTTGACAACCCTCCCCTTCTTACCCCATTTTTAAAGTTTAGCAAGTTTCTTCCGCATTTTTTGTCCTAGGCTACATATTGCTGTTGTCGCTGTTATCTGTTACCTTTTTTGTTCTTTACTTATTGACACTTGATCCCGTTCAAAATTTGGTTATGAACTACGTGAAAAGAGGAGGGTAAGTGATACTCTGTATTATGTACGTAACAGTGGCGTGCTGGGTACTATTTTTCTGGGGAGGCCAGTCGGCTGGCAACTAATATGCGCCCCTATAATATTACCCTTGATAAACGAGGGCCGAAGACACGAGCCGAGCGCCGCAGGTGCGAGGTTTGTCAAGGGGGGTCCGGGGGCATGCCCCCCAGGAAAATTTTTGAATTTAGAGTCTCTGAAATGCCATTTCCTGGAATTTGGGGGAAGATTTGACAGAAATCTGATGGTCAGGAAACGGCATTACAACGTGTCGAAATTTGAAAATTGGTTAGAATTTAGTAGTAGCACTTAAATTGGGCAATGCTAACCACTTCCACAAATTAATCTAATCCCAATTCTATTCTCTACTGATCTGAATACATTTACAACTTACAGCTCTTTTATACAATAACACACGTAGCCCACGCATATGCATTTTAAGGTTTCCTTGCCTGGCTGCCAAAAGGGCGTGTTTCATCATTATCTCATTACTTACATTACTCATAAGGTCTCTTGCGCAAACAATTAAATTGCGTACACAACTTTACATTATCATACTTCAACTATCTAATTTGCGCCGCTCTCGTGATTCGTGAAGCATAATAAAGGGCATAATATAAGGGGTATAATACCAGCAAAAAAGGGCATAATTCCCGTGATCGCTTCGAAGCCTGATCAATATTCCGGTAATGAGACATTGCGTGTGATCACTGATCATGTTTCTATATGAACGAGTGATTTCGTGGCGTGGCCCCCCGCCCCCTGCCAGCACGCCACTGGTACGTAAGGTAAGTGATACGTTGATATGTACGATGAGCTTTTTTCTGTAATTTTTTGTTCAAATCGCAACGAAGAGCTGTTAAAGTACACCTCCTTCCAATTTTTAAAAATTGGATCTGGTTACTAATGTGTGACGGAAAATCCAGACAACAAAAAGGAGCGAGACGGTGTTATACAGTTGATTTCATGTAACTTTTCCGTGAATGTTGCGAACTTCGTTCCGAACTTCGTTGTGAAGTTCAAAAGTTCATACTGAAATTCACAAGCCCGTATGTAAACAAAGCCTCTGATTGGTCCCTTAACAAAAATAAGCCAATTAGAGGCTTTGTTTACATACGGGCTTGTGAATTTCATTATGAACTTTTGAACTTCACAACGAAGTTCGGAACGAAGTTCGCAACATTCACGGAAAAGTTATGAAATCAACTGTAATACGGAGCTTTAGATTTGACTACGAGTACGAGATTTGATCCAGTGGCGTAACTACTACGGGCTCAGACCGGGTGAACCCGGGGGCCCCAACCCAAATGGGGGCCCCCAGGCTTAGCCGATAGGGCTAAAACATTGGCCAGGGCATCTGATATGTTACAATGTCGTTTTATGACCATCAGAATTCTGTAAAATCTCTCCCCAAAGTCCAGGAAATGGCATTTCAGAGAGTCTAGATTCAAATATTTTCCGGATGACCATGCCCTGGACCCCCTAGAAAACTCGTGCATATACGGCGCTCGACTCATGCCTTTGGCACCTCTACCAGGGGGCCTTCGGAAATTTTGAACCGGGAGCCCCCTGATATAACGTTACGCCACTGATTTGATCGCGTGCGAGGAAATTACCGTAGTCGTTTTCGTTTCCATTCAAATGTTGCTTTTATAGCAGTAAACCAACAACGAGAGAAAAAGTTTCATAAACTAAATCTCCTGCAGACTAAACTCCTCTACAAACCGTGTAAATAAGTCATAACATTAAAAACAGGCCAGATA